GGGTCTTTCTCTGCCTCAGAGGAATCCAGAATCATTGATGTTACCCCAGCTTCGGCTACGGGTTGGCATCCTGGTAGGGGGCCAACTTTCGGATCTCACTTCCTCTGACCGATCTCCGTCAAGATGACCCAAAAATGGCCCCAGAGGCTCCCCAGGGTGCCCCAAGACAGCCCCAAGGTGCCCGGGAGGCCCCACGAGGCCCCTAAGAGGCACCAAAGATGCCCCCAAGAGGCCCCCAAGAGACCCCAAAGAGGCCCCCCAGATGCCCCCACGAGGCCCCCAAGAGACCCCAAAGAGGCCCCCCAGAGGCACCCAAAATGCCCCGAGACGCCTCGGTGGGAAGGCCAAGATCGTTGATTGCACTTTGGCTTTAGCAACAAGTTGGCCTCCTGCGAGGGGGAGAGCCTGATGTACTACGGCCAGTACCGTTGAGCCAACCTAGCATGGCAAATGTAAGCGTGCCTACATCTATTTGGGTGGGGAGGCTACGGGAGGAGATCGCTGAAGGGAAGGGGCGCTGCTACCATCTGTGGCCAATTTGGCCGTCGGCGGAGGGGCGCAAACCTACTGGGAGCCGCCGAGCACTAGATACGCCCTCCTCACATCACATCCCGTTTTGTCCTGCCTGTCCATTTCGCCGCACTTTTCACAACGTATACCCTTATAGTTGCGCCAGCCGACACTAAGAACCTATGACACCAAGCTGGCTTTTCGTATATAAGAGGCCGTGGAGGTTCGGTTATGGAGCGTGGTCGCAGGAGGTCCCTCCCTCGCGCCGCTTGGGCGACTCAGCCGGCAGCCGCCAGAAAAACAGCGAGCCACCATAACCCACACTTCACCAACCACTTGCTACATTGGGTTCGTGCGAAGCCCGTAAAGAGACGGCGAACAGCGCGAGGGTCCTGGGGCGAGGCTTGGGACGACCCGAATAAACCCTGGGAGCCCTGGGTAGCAGCCCGAGAAGTGCCGCCTGCACCATGCATGCCCAAAATTGCATCTTTGATCCGCCCTGCTGAGAGCCTTCGGTGAAGGCTATACTTGATGGAAGGAAAGGGGGGTGATGGGCATTGGATCTGGAGGGGGGGTCACCACTTCAATCTCTCACACCCGACGCTATAGGCCTACGTTCCATCACGATTTGGCTAGCCTCTTTCGGGCGTTGGTAGGACTGGGTTTGGAAGCTGGTTTACTGATCTGTACCGGGGGCGCCCCCCCGTCCCATTTCCACTCAGCGGAACTGCCGCCACCCGAAAAATACCAGCTATGGCGAACCTGGTTTAATGATTCTGGCCAATTCAGAGGCTCCGGGGCCCTGCCACTAACCGGGTCCCCTTACCCGGGGCCCAGGACATACCCGACTCTTGTACAGCGCCAGCCTACACAACAGCACCATTTGCCATGAGGGTGCTACTTGTACCGTTCGACACTGCCCATACCTAGGCCAGCAAGTACCGTCCAGGCCCGCCTACCAATACCTTAGAATATTCAGTTCCAAGCCTCACTCGCACATGCATTGGCCAGTTCGCATCAGTGGAGGTACGGGGATAAATCTTAGGCTTGAAGACGACACTGCACTGGCTACCCTGTCTAGCGCCAGCCGGCTGCGAAGGGACCCCTCGAGGTTCCCATACACTTGCGACGTGCGCCCTCGCATTTTTGCACATCAATCCTACTTCAGCGAATCATTGCCAGCCAACGCAGAGTGCGTTCACATGAGCAACCCACTCATACATAAAGCCTCTTTCGCCAGCCGGACTGGCACATGGGATGGGGAAGAGTCATCATTGGGGGGGCTGGGCTGGATGGACATCACGCTGCGTCTGCCTCGGCTCTACTCTGGCTGCCTAGCATACCCAAGTGGTCGACATACCACTGGGATACCCCGTAGAGCAGCTTGAGTTTGCAGACAAACCAATTTACCGCGCTACGTGTTCGATTGTTGCACGCGTATGTCGCCAACTCTTGTTCGGAGCCTCCCCTCTACACGTAATCTGGATATGTGCGTGGTTGTCCTCTTCTCTTTCCCAGCCGACGGATACGTTACTCAGTGCCCACCAGGGTTTCTCAGCATGTCGGTAATTGCGTTGCCCCTCCAGCTCCGCACGTGCCGTCAGCTTACTTATTAGTTCTGCACATCGATAAAACAGATCTTGCACTGTTTTGCTCTATCACCAAACTAAAACGCTTCAGCTCCGCCGCTCAAGTTCGCCCAACGTCGAAAAAAGGATGAGGAGGAGGAGGAAGACGTGGAAGAGGAGGAGGAGGAGGAGGAAGCCGAGCGTTCCCAGGGAAGTTCCATCCACAATCACCGACGATACCCCGCACTGTGCGGGAGATCAGCTGCGAGACGCGCAGCGCGGGCGAAATCGGCCGCCTCGGAGTCCGAGTTCGCCAGTCCGCCTAACCCTCTCCATTTAGTGTGGAGGAGGCGATGAACATGAAGAAGGATAGAGAGGAGCAGTAAGAGGGAGGTGGAGGAGGCGGAGGGAAGAAGTGAAGGGGGAAGGAAAGGAGGAGGGAAGAGGAGGAGGGAAGAGGAGGGAAGACTAGAAGGAGGAAGAAAAGAGGAAGGAAGAGGAGGCGGAGGGAAGAGGAGAGAGGATGAGGAGAAGGAGGAGGAAGAGGGAGGGAGGGAGGAGGAGGATGTTTTGGCCTGCGACGCTAATGAAGCTGGGAGCCTGTCAGCAAAGGCCAGCACGCAACTTGCAGAACATCGGAAAGACTAGCGCATATCTGCTGGGGCGCCAAAGCCGACAGTACAGCACACTGGTAAGTTGAAGGCGCAGCACCAGTCAGGGACAGTCTTGCCGACTGCCTTGCAAGGAGACAGACAGCCTTCTGCGGCCGTCCTTTGCGCACCCGAGTGGGCCGAGGCATCTGCGGCCCTGGCACGGCACGAAACGAGGCGGCGGCGGACACCTGGCGGTTATCCGCACGCAGGGGGGGACGGAATCTATCGCCGCGGTTTCCGGGCGCAGGCCAAAACGGCGCACTGATCCAGCGCAGACAGTCCAGGCATTGCGCAGCTGCTGGGCAGGAACCAAGCTGCACCGCTCGACAGTGGGAGCCTGGGGCAGAGAAGCAATCAACACGAATAGTCCTTGCGTGACGCTTGCATCGGCCCCTGCCCCGCAGTCCAGACAGACAGCATGCTCAAGAAGTCAAGACAGCTCAACGTTACCAATCTGAGGGAGTAGAAGTCCATGCCCAAGAAGTCAAGACAGCTCCTTCAATGTCGAATCCCCATGCCCAAGAAGTCAAGACGGCTCAACGTTACCACTCTGAGGGAGTCAATTATATTGAGCCCCTGGCGGTACGCAAACAGGACGGCGGCGAACAGCAGCGGTCCATTCTGCGCTCACCCCAGCGAGGGAGATCCTGCACAGTCTGGGAGCCATCGCTGCCAAAATGGTACGCGCCCAATCCTGTATGCATATCGTGTTGGCAGCTGCTGGCATACGGGCGGAGGTACGTTCAGATCCTGGTTGCGGGGCGCTCGGGCAGGCACGCATGTGACCACCCACGTGTGGCGCGCATCGGGTGCACCCTCACACCTGGCTGGTGTCGCGTGGGCCCCTGAGCGAGAGAGCAGGAAAGAGGCCGCGGGCTGGGCGGTGGCTTCGAGGAGAGCTCGCGGGCGCAGAAATGATCACCTGGCTATGGCACGCCGGGAACGAGAGCGAGGGGGCACACGTGTGGTGCGCCTTGGGTGCCCCATTGCACCCAGCCTGCGTCACGTGAGCCGCAGAGGGAGAGAGCTGAGGTGGTGCCGCAGGCGGGGCGGGGGGGGGGGCGCCGGCCACGGCGGCGGCAGCAGCAGCACTGCCAGATAGAATCCCTACCTCAAGCATACAGAACGCTTGACCTGCCAAAAGAAACCTTACTCGAGCCTCCTATCGAAAATTTCTACGCCAAACGCTGGAACAGCATTCCAGGGCGCAACTTCAATGTCAGTCTATCGGCCACACGCAAGAAAGACCCTAGGCAAGGGGGACCTTTGGTGTGCGGACGACGGGAACATAAGGCAACCAAATCCAAGCGCGCAGGCGGCCGCTAAACCATCGCGATCAAGGATCGAGGGGGCCCCGACGAGCCCGCAGCAAAGGTCACTCCGGTGAAGGGTCACTCTTACATGGAGTCGAGTCAAGCGCCTCTGGCTTTCCATAACCGCTCTTGCAGCCCTGCGTTCCCTGGCGACTAAGACGGTTCTGCACTATTCGCCCCCTGATCTGCCTCTGTGAGAAGCACGCGGGGGGGGGGAGGCGGGGGAGCAGAGGGAGCGCCACCTGCAGGCCCGTGGCCTGATAGCGCAATCTCAAGGTCCTGCGAAAGACCTGCAGTCAACCCGTATGAGAAGGACGCACGATAAGGATGCAAGGGTCTTGGAGAGCCATGTCGACTCTGTGCGAGCGTGGCGCGGCCAGCGAAAGCGACCAAGGATGCACCGAAGGGGAAGGATGCAAGGGTAACCTTGGAAAGCTGCTCATCCTTTCTATACGGGTTGACTGCAGAACATCGAATCCATCTCTGTTAATTCGCCGTAGGAGGGGGGGTCCACTTGGGTGGGGAGTCGCCGTTGGGTCGGCCACCGAGCCCTGTGGGGCCCAGGTATCTGCAACGGGCGTCGAATGTTTAATACGGTCAAGCTCAGGGTCTGTCCGACGGGTGCCATGGGACCTCGAAACAACATCTGGAGCCCAAACCTATTCGACACCTCGGTGTGAGTCCCAGGACACAGAAGAACAACGCAGCAACGCAGCACGGGGGTCAAGGGTTCAGGTGCATCCTCAAGAAAGCCGATGAGATCTGACTGCTCCCATATTGTTTGCATAGCCGCAACCGTTGAGAGAGTCTGCGAAGAAACTGCACACATGTGATGGGTAAGTCTTGCACCTGGCGAGGGAGGAGGGGTGAGGAAAGAGGGAGGGAGGAGGGAGGCGGGAGGAGGGAGGAGGGCGCAGGAGCAGGAGGAGGACGAGGAGGAGGCGGAGGGAGAAAAGGAGGAGGAGGAGGAGGAGGGAGGAAAACAGAAGAAGAGGAGGATGAGAAGGGCGAAGAGGAGGAGTGTCACCCCGCCGCGCCCACAGCCGACAACCGCGCGTCCAGCGCGCGCACCACGGCGTCGCCCTCGCTGTACCTCCGGCGGACGGCCGCGGCAGCCCCCCGCGGCGACGGCGGCCGCCGCCGAGCCGCTGCCGATCGGCTGCGGCGGCGGCGCTGCGGCGGCGGCGGCGCCGATGTGGCGGCTGCGCTGACGGCGATGACGCCGATCGGCGGCGGCGGCGCCGATGCGGCGGCTGCGCCGACGGCGACGACGCCGATCGGAGGCGGCGTCGATGCGGCAGCTGCGCCGACGGCGCCGACGCCGATCAGCGGCGGCGTCGATGCGGCGGCGGCGCCGACGGCGACGACGCCGATCGGAGGCGGCGGCGCCGATGCGGCGGCGGCGGCGCCGACGGAGACGACGCCAATGGGCGACGGCGGCGGCGGCGGTAATCGGCGGCGGCGCCGGTGCGACGGCGGCAACGACAGAGAGGGCGACGGCGATAACACCGAGGTCTGCGATGTCGACGACTGCTCGGCTTGCGTTCGCTCCCCGTGGCCAGGGTTCGAGCTCACTGCGTGCGAGCGACGACCTCCTCCTCCTCCTCCTCCGTCCTCTTCATCTTCCTTCTCACCCTCCTCCTCCTCCTCTTCCACCATTCCGTTTCCTTATAAAGATGGCCCCACCCCGACGCCAGTCGGAAGGGCGGCCCGGGCGTTTCGCCTGAGATTCCCTTACCATTTATGATCCTGAATTGGCAACCGCTTCACAGATGAATGGCGGTTCCTTTTCAAAATGCGGCGCTTCGCTTAACGTCGCGCGCATTCGCGTTTAAAAACGCAAGAGGTTCCTGGAATATCATGGTTCACGTATCCGAGAAACGTATTGGACGCAACAAGTACCTTGATTCGCGGTGCTGACGTCCCAAAAATGTTCTTCCACGATTCCGGATCGTCAATACGCAACAGTCGTGTTGATTCGCGGCGCTGTAGCTCCGAGAAGGGTGGTTTGGCACAATTCAGGACCTTCAATCGGTTGTTTCCCAACGGGGCACGTCCCAGTGGAAGTACATCCTTTTATGGGCCTATGAAGAGGGAGCTTGGAAGGAGGGTGTCATCCAACATCGTTGATAAGCCTTGGCTTTACACTTGTCCTCCTCAGCCCCCTCCTCCTCCTCCTCCTCCTCCTCCTCCTCCTCCTCGCCTCGTGACGCGGATGCGCTCCCTGCCGTCCCGACCAGAGCAGGGGTCAAACGGGGGCTTTAACAGAGGCATCCCAAATGCAGCCAGAGCAGATGGGGTCGGAGGATCGCGCCGCATCGCCGATATGTCTCAGATGCATAGGCGATGCATCGGCGACGTCGGCGATGCATCGGCGCCATCGGCGTGAATAAATCGGGCCCCACATCGAGCCGCAACGCCGATGCATCGGCAATGCAGCGCTATCCGCGCCCGCTCAGGCTCCCCATGAGACAACGAAACGTGTGAGGGCTGTGCCGACATGGGTCGGTGCCGGCATGCGGACTCTGCCACTGAAACCCTCGGACGAGCTCTCTACGGGGCCACGAAACGTGTGAGAGGTCTGCCGGAATGAGGCGGGCGGAGCCTTCGTCGGACCCCCACTTGAGAGCACGAAACGTGTGAGGGGCGTGCCGAAGCTGGGTGGGGCCGCCATGCGGGCCCTGCAACTGGCGCCTTCGGTGGAGCCCGGTATGGGGCCACGGAACGTGAAAAAGGTGTGCCGAACTCGGGCAAGGCCGCCATGCGGCTCCTGCCACCAGGGCCTTCAGAAGGAACTCCATGTCATGGGGCCACGAAACGTGTGAGTGGTATCCCGGAATGGATGTGAGGAGAACCAAGGTTGGCAGAGAGAGATGAGGAGAGAGGAGGAGAGGAGGAGAGGAGGAGAGGAGGAGAGAAAGAGAGGAGTGAAACAATGAAGTAAGGAGTGAGGTGAGACGCGCGGGTTCAAAACGAGGACCTCAGGCGGCTTGGGAAGAACATGGAGATTAGGAGGAGGAGGAGGAGGAGGAGGAGGAGGAGCAAGAGGAGGAACAAGAGGGGGATGAGGTGAGGAGGTGGAGCGCAGCGCTGCGGACTCGAAACGAGGACCTAACACACACGAAGGTGGGGGAAAAGTAATCCGCCAAAAAAGACTAGGCAGGGTGTGGGCTGAGACTGGTTCACGCGAACACCATCCAGTCGCGGAAGCTCCAAGGAGACGGAATGTCGAACTGGGCTCACTCAGGGGAAGGGCGCGTTCTTTCCGAGGGGCAGCTAGGCGACCAGACAAGGGAGGCAGCAGCAGGCAGCAGCGCAGAAGAGGATAGGGAAGAAAACCATGGACACGAACAGAAATCTGAAAAAAAACACGAATTCTACGCTTCCCCAGACCTCCGACATTGTGAATTGTCTCACAACTTGGCTCTCCCGGGGTCTGGATATTTCTCTGCGACCGGCTCGATGATCCTCAAAACGCGAGCTGGCGCCATGGTGTACGTGTTCAGCGAAAGTCCTTCGATACGGCGCAGGCGGTGTAAATGATAAAAGAACAAGCTCTTTGCCCGACGTTTTTTCTGGCCCTGCACTGACGCTTGAACAAGAAAACGAATCCTGGGGTATACGTGATTCTGGTGTATACACTCTTCGTTAATCCCCAGCGAACCGGAAAAAAGTATATACCACACCACCCCGACGTCGTCTCCGACCCTCAAAAGTCGTGGGATTGGAAAACAGCCAGCCACTGGTAATGTAATTATACGTTCCAGTCTCCGAAATGAGGGCCAGCACACGCTGCATGCTACCAGCGGAGCTGAAAAGGGCAAGCACACATTGGGCTACATTCCACCCGAATCAGAAAGATGCGCAGTGAGGATGCAAGGGCCTTGGAGGGCCATGTCAACGCTTTTCGAGCGAGGTTGGCCAGCGAAAGTCGCTAGGGATGGGCCGAAGGGGCAAGGATGCAATGTGCACCCTTGGGAACATTGCCAACCCTTCCTGTGCGGATTGACTGTCACACACGCCTTGGGGATCAACGACCCGCTTTCCATCCCGAGTCGTTCTGCCGAGGGCCCCGTGAGGCCCCGTGCGGGCCCTGGGAGGCCGCAGACTGCCAGAGACCTGCCGCCGTAACTTTTTCGCAGCGACCGGGCACACGCCACCAATGCGTCGGGGAGCGCGACCCCCGAAGCAGGGCACCGGCGCGCCGCCTCGTGTCGCGACGGACCGTGCCGCTCTGGTATGGAGTCTGGACCCGTCGCCCATCCGCGCGCCCTGATCCACGCCTGGAGGTCCAGTCGAGGCGTTGACCTGAGGAACCCTAACTAAGGAACGAGGCCCCTATTTTCCACAAGTGGAACTTCGATTTCGCACGGAAAACCTACGGAAATCCTAGGCAAGCTGCGAAACAATGAAGGAACACGGAACCCCTCCCCAACGAAAAGGGTTCCCTCTTCTGGGCCCCGACTGTATGGGCCCTCCCCCGCGCAGCGGGGGCACAGGCCGCTCTGGAGCAGCTCCGCGCGCTGGGCGCGCAGCCACGCCGCGTGCGCGCGCGGCTCCGTGCCGGCCGCCTCCTCGGCGCGGCGCACGGGGTCGGATCGGCAGAGGGCCCCAGCTTTTTGTCGCTACCACAGAACGATACCGTTTTTTTTGCCTTGTCGCCATTTCGTCTCCGCTCCTATGCGTCACTAGCCACGGGGCCTCAACCGCCACCCCCACAGCTCCGGCTACCACAGGACGATACCGTGAGAGGTGCTGCCACCAACGAAGCCGAGACAAAGGGAGCCGGTAAGAAAAGTATTACCGCCAGACCGGTCTCGCCCGAGGAGGGTGGGCGGGGGCGAGGAGAGAGGCAGCAGAAAACCAGACGGCGACCGATATGAAGCTGCCCGCAGAACGTGCCGGGCCGTACAGAGAAGCCTCCCCGACGGGGCCGACTCCAGCAGCCCCGACCGCAGACATGCTGCGTCTAACTCTGCTGCCCCCGGCTTCCGCCGAGCTCCCCGCCGACCTCCGCCCGCGGGCCGGGCGCCGCTTGCCTTCCGCCAGCTTCCACCAATTTTGCCGGCTTTCGCCGAGGGCGAGACGGTCCGGAGGCGAGGCCAGCTTTGGAGCGCCTCACACGGGGCCCGAGAAGACGGGATCGGAGGATCACGCCGCATCGCCGACGCATCGGCGATGCACCGGCGACATCGGCGTAGAGAGAATCGGGCTCCAGGTCGAGCCGCATCGCCGAACCTCCGATACCGTCCAGTCGGACCCCGCTTGGGAGGCCTGGGGGGGTCAAGGAGGGAGGGCGGCAGGTTCGTGGCGTAACGACCTCCCGTGTAGGTTTCTGACACAACGTGGATCGGTCTACCCTGGGCGATCGCGGCTTTCCGATGGCGCAGATCGCTCGAAATCGGCCGATTCGGGGCTACTGGCGGCGTTCAACCTTGAACACCCGCGCTGGGGTCGTCGCCGCGTCGATACGACTCGTATCCCCCCGTACAGGCCTAATACAGCACGAGAAGCCTGCGAGGCTCGGAGTGAGGCTGAAGACTGCCGCGTGGTATCGTCCCGACGCCCTCGTGCGGCTTATTGTTAGCACCCCGCAGCTGCGGAAAATAGTGAGGGGTCGGTCAAGGGGTGGGTCGTAGGTGGGTCACGGGTGGGTCGCGGGTGGGCCGCGGAAAGGGTTCCAGGTGGGTCGCGGGTGGGTCGCGGGTGGGTCGCAGGCGGAACGCAGGTGGGTAGCGCGCCGGGCCGCGAGTGGGACGACGACGACGACGACGGCGACGACGACGACAACGACGACGAAGACGACGACGACGAAGACGACGACGACGACGACGACGACGACGACGACGAAGACGACGACGACGACGACGACGACGACGACGACGACGACGACGACGACGACGACAAGAATAACGAACAACAACGCTACAACAGTCCGCACCGCCGGACCCCACTTCAGCCACGCACCCAACAACAGTGAATGACCGTTCGGCCCCCCATTCAAACTAATCCGTTTTTCCCCTGCATGATTTGTTCGTTTCCCAGGCTCTGGCCTGCGATCGGTTAGTCGTGCTGCACAACTCGGGGAGGGACACAAGCCGTCTTCGGAAGAATCGCAGCCATAGCAGGCAACGGGGGCGCACGACACAAGGGCCCACAAGGCCCGTGGACTCTGGGCGGACTACGCTTATTGCTGAAAATATCACATTCCTCCTCCTCTGCCTCGTCCTCCTTCTCTTCGTCGTCATCCTCCTCCTCTTCCTCCTCCTCCTCATCCTCATCATCAGCATCAGCATCAGCATCATCACCCTCATCAGCATCACCATTATCGTCCTCCTCCTCATCCTCATGTTTTTCCTCCAACCCCTCGTCGTCGTCGTCCTCATCCACACTGGCTCCTGATAAATAAATCCTCCGTGTCGCATCCCCAAGCATGTCGGCAGGGCGGGCCAGGCGTTTCGCCTGAGATTTTCTCGCCACTCGTGACCAAACAATTTCGCGGATCGAAGGCGGGTCCATTCCAACCTGTGGTTGTCGCCCTTTTGCCGCGTACCTTCGTTTCAAAGTGTGCCACGGATTCGCGGATGGACGGCGGGTCCTTTTTGCATTGTGATTCTCGCTCAAACGCCGATTACATTCGTCTCCAAAGATTACCACGGCTTCAAGGATGGAAGGGGGGCGTTTCAAACTACATTAATGGCCCGACCACAAGAAACCTTCCACAAGAAACCCAATCCTGAGACCCCGGGACGTCCATCGGTTTTTGACGTGGGAGCGCCACGCTGTCCATCGCAAAACCATCGAAACCCAAGAAACGCATGGCACCCTGGAGGCAAGCAGGGTGTTTCGTGGCATGGCCCCCCACTGTATGGTTCTCACCTGCGCGCCGCGTACATTCGTCTTAAAACTTCGCAGCAGCTTCACAGATGGAGAGCCGGCTCTTTCCAAATATCGTTCTGGCCTTAGCGGCGCGCATACTCGACATAAAGACCGATAAAAATGCGCGCGTGGAGGGCGGGTGGTTCTGGAGATGTGGCTCTCGGTTCAGAGCTGCGCACATTCGTCTTAACAGTTCTCGACTGGTTCACGGAGTCGTGTGGCCGAAGTCCCAGGAACGATGTTCTGGCACGGCTCAAGGCTGTCAGGACGTAAAAGTCACGTTGATCCGCGGCGTTAAAGTCCCAGGTGGGACACTTCCCTGCATTGAAAATAAGTGCGGGGATGGTTCATTGCAACATCGTTGGTGCGTCTTCGGCTCATACTAATCATTCTCCCCCACAGACTCCTCCTCCCCCACCTGCTCCTCACTTGCACAGTTGCACACACACACACATAGGCATGAAGGCCAAACAATGCTCGGCGGCAGGCCAAGAATAGGGGGTGCGATAACTAAGGAAGCACTCGATACTCGAAGCAGTCTTCCAGCTTCGCTAGGCTCGAGGCGAAGGCGCGGGAACTGAAAGGTCGTGCACGACGCTCTGCGGCACAAGACATATCTCGGACTGAATCATCACGGACCGACCCTTGCATTCCCCCCCCCACCCAATCCCTACTGCTTGCGATTGTAATCAAAGCGCGGGGCGGGCCTATCCTTACGCATCCTTCTACTCAGCTGTTTCTTAGAACCACCAAAACCGCAGTACCTGATACGAGAAGGCGACCTAGGCATCGCAAGGGGCTCGCGGGGGCAGCGGGGCACGAGGAAGCCATCTTCCGGGGCAAACAAAGCGAAACAGCTAAAAGCTGGCTGGCTCCACGACTCCGACCCGACTGTCTGAGTCCCCGGCTGCCCCGCCGACGGCCAAGGAGGGCGCCCCTGCGCCTCCCAAGCGCTCCTGCGCCTGTTCCCCCTCGCCCGAGGGCGCCGCTGCACCCTGGGCCGATTCTGCGCCCCGCTGATTGACCGTATCGCTGCCTGGCCCGAGGGGCTCCTTCTCGTGGCTGGCAAGGCCTGCGCTCGGCTCGAGGGGGTCCCTCTCGTGGCTGGCCAGGCCGTTGCCTGGCTCGAGAGGCTCCTTCGCGTGGCTGGCAAGACCGTTGCCCGGCTCGAGAGGCTCCTTCGCTGGGCCCGCCCCTGGCACGAGGGGCTCGTCCTGGTCCTTTCCAGCGGGACTGGCCAAGCCGCTGCCAGGTTCTCGTGGCTGGCCAGGCCCGCGCTTGGTTCGAAGGGCTCCTCCTGGTGGCTGGCCAAGCCCCCGCCTGGCCCAAGGGCTCCCTTGCGTGGCTGGCCAAGCCGCCGCCTGGCTTGAAGGGCTCCTCCTTGCGGTTGGCTAGGCCGCTGTCTGGCTCCAGGGGCTCCTCCGCGTGGCTAGCCAAACCGTTGACCGGCTCCTTTTCGTGAAGGCCGGGCCCGCCCCTGGCACGACGGGCTCGTTCTGGTCCTTTCCGGCGGGGCTGGCCAAGCTGCCGCCTGGCCCGATGGGTTCCTTCTCGTGGCTGGCCAAGCCCGCGCTTGGTTCGAAGGGCTCCTCCCGGTGGCTGGCCAAGCCCCCGCCTCGCCCGACGGGCTTCGCGCGGCCGGCCAGGCCGCTGCCTGGCTCGAAGGGCTCCTCCTTGTGGTCCGATGACAAATGCGCCCCAGACATTACATCGGCACGACTCATGAGGATATATCTTCGAGGTCATTTCATCTTGGCCGTCAAAGACTCACACGACTGATGGGGAACGCCGAGGCTGCCACAACTGGAGCGACGAATCCCTTTGGGGACAAGGAGTTCTCCTCGGAAGTACTCTCCATGAACTATTCCTCCTTTAGCGGCTGGTCTGAACTACCTTCCCCTGTCGCTGAAGGTAGGCTGGCTGTGGGGCGGCCGCGGGCGATGCCGTCTTTTCTCGCTGCCGCCCACGTCACCGCACAGTTTAGCTTCACCGCGCGTCCGAGGTAGCGCTGCACTTCCTTGTCCAAACAGGGCGTGCTGAGACACGTTCCTTGCCGCCCTACCTCCCCCTTGGACTGGGAGGTCCGGAATTTCTACAGGCCGAGCGGGACCCTGCAAGTTGCTCACGAACTTTGAACTCGTGGTACTGTGCTTGGGTGAGCGGAGGGCACGCAGAGCCACGTTGAGCGGGCGCCTCCCCAAGGATGTTCACCATCAGGTCTGCGAAGCGATGCACAGCACTGGCACCATTGACAGACACCTGGGTGCCGGCGGCGAACACAACACTGATGAGCGCCCGCGTGGCCTCCATCACAGAACAGAAGAACATCTGTATGGCCTAGAAACGGCTGGTGCCGCGCCTATGCGCCCAAGACTGTGGAGCTGACGTGTACAGTATCGGACAGGCTCTTGAGCCAAAGTGGCTACGGCCTACACCACCTCCTCCTCCTCCTCGTCCTCCTCATCCTACTTTTCAACCTCCTCCTCCTCCTCCTCCTCCTCCTCCGGCTCCTCCTCCGGCTCCTCCTCCTCCTCCTCCTCCTCCTACTACTACAACTACAACTACAACTACTACTACTACAACTACTACTACTACTACTACTACTACTACTACTACTACTACTACTACTACTACTACTACTACTACTACTACTACTACTACTACTACTACTACTACTACTACTACTACTACTACT